TATGCTAAAGTTAAAAAAAAGCTGCATGAGACAAAAGTTAATACATTCTTTTGCTAACCTCAAAAGACTCACCATCTGTACTTTCAGGTGTTTAAGTATATTACCTTACGAACCACGGGAAAGCCATTTGACACTTACAAAGCTTCACTTCTCATCAAAGCAAATATAAAATGATGCCTTCCCTTTCCATTCCAGATTCTTTGTGAGAATAGAGAGGAAATAATTTACATAAGATATTTCATAAACTTCTTATGATTTGGGTAATTAGGCATCCTTGCATAGTTTACTGCTATGAATAGAAATCAACAACTGAACAATGTCCCTCGTTGTATCCCCTCCTGGGATTCTAACTCTGGTTCTCAATTATACAACAGTCACAGCACGGCCAAGCAGGATATTTCGAATGTAAAGACTAATTCGTGGCCTAACCCAGAGAGTTAAGATCATCTGCTTGAAACCACAATAGGTTATCTCTACTGCCACCAAAATGGCTAAAATGAAAGAGACTGAGCAGGATGCGGAGATACCAAGCCTTTCATATACCGCTGGAAGCAGTGTAAATCATTACAAGGAGCTTTTTAAACTTTTGGCAGAATCAACCAAAACTAGACATGCCTCAGCCATAATACAATAATCCACTAACTAGCTACTAAGCAAAGAAAAAAAGATGCGTCATAGCATCTTTAATCATAGCAGCTTTAATCATAACAGCCCCATATCTGAAATCACCCAAATACCCATCAACCATTGACATGTTCAATGGCTGGTTGCTAGACCAGCTCTCAGTCAGTAAAAGGAACTTTGCTGCACACAGATAAATACCAGAAACAAAATGTGGGGAAAGCATCAAAACACAAAGAATATATCCTGGTTGATTTTGTTTGTATACAGAACAGATGACAACTAGCCTTGAGTAAGAGAAATCATGAAACAGCGTAACCCTGGGAGGAGGCTGACGGGGAAGCACTCTGAGGAAGCTGTGGGTGCTATCTGAACTGAGGGGCAGGTACAATCTCCCTCAGACTTCCTCTCCATGGTAGACCACCTTGGAGTCAAGTTTGCTTTTTCTCACTTAACCGGGATGGTTAAGTACATAAAAGTAGCTCTTGTAACAGTACTTTCAGTAATCTCTCTATAGAGATTCCTAAGTTATGTCACAAAAGTTATAAAAGTAAGTTATAACTGTGACTAGGGGGAGGCGCCATATTACAAATCAGAAAGGGCTGGAGCTATGCAGATAGTCAGGCCTGAGTTTAAAACTGAATTTCACCACTTGGGGCTGCATGGACTTGAATGAATACTGTATACATCCAGTCTGTTTCACCATCTACAAAGTGGGGATTATGTCTACTTCATGAAGTTCATTAGAAAGTTTTAAAGAGCTACTGAATGTAAGAAGTCAAATACCTTAGAGGTGCTCACTGAATGAGCTCACCTTCCACCCTCACCAAGACCCTAAGGCCAATCACTTCTCAAATTTCGGGGATACTGTTCAGCTGAACATTACTGCAGATCTGAAGAATTCTGAGAACCCAGTAGTGGGTGTCCTTCACTCCTCTCATCAGTCATGAACAGAAACCCCCTCCGAAGGAATAAAGAGGAAGAAATGCACTGAGCTTTAAGGAGGGAGGGCAAGATTGGACACTTTCAGGCTCGTCCCAGAATCAGGGGTAAGGGAGAATTTGCACAGAGGCGCTGAAGCAGCATATAGCGCCACCGTGTGGCCAACGATCCCCGAGGACGCCTTTCTACGCCTTTCTATGCCTTAATGCAGCCTGGAGTTTTCCAACCAATGCAGTGTTCTAGCTTCCCAAGGACGGCGACAAGGCTGAGGAAAATTCAGAGCAGTGAGTACTGCCGATCACATAATCTCTTCTTCGCCAAGAAAATCTGTGGCTAGGTTCCCACCAAGCCTACCTGGCCTCCGAATTCACAGCGGGCTCTAACACAGAAAGCCGTGCAGTAGCATTCGCAGACCTGAACTCCATTAAACCCCACCCCGCCGCTATTCCTGCGCCATCTACCCACGTGGGACGCAGTGACTCCTATTTCAGACGTATGACTGCCTATCTTGTTGTGGTCTTCCTGAGCAAGACGAAGATGGAAGCCAAGGTTAATTTGTTCACGGTTGTGATCTTGGCACCGATCACGATGACTCAGAATGAGCTTAATAAATATTTGATAAAATAACTAATTTTAAAGTAATTGACCTATCGAATATGTACTATTTCTATTCTCAAATGACAAAAACCATTTCATGCATTCACTTTTTAAAAATATAATTGGCATTCGTTGTGTTAGTCTCAGGCTTACAGCAGGATTTTACAATTGTGCTGTGAAATGATCCCTACATAAGTCTAGCTAACATCTATCACCACACAGTTGCAATTTACCTTGTGATAAAAAAGCATTTTAAATCGTGTATTAGCAACTCTAAAATATGCACTACAGTGCGAATAGCAATCCCTACCATGGGGACAGTACCTCCCCAGGACCTCTTTATTTTGTAACTCGGTTTTCACACTTTGACCACCTCCACCCATTTTGCCCACCCTCCACCCGACCTCTCTGGTAACTACCAATTTGTTCTCTATGCCTATATACTTTTTCATTTTACTCTTGCTTTTAAAGTCCACCTCTTTAAGTGAGACCATACAGTATTTATCTCCTGACTTACTGTACTTAGCATGATGCCCCATGTTCATCCATGTCACAAATGGCAGGATTTCCTTCACCTTTTAATGACTGAACAATATTGCACAGATATGCATTTGTATCACTTCTTTATTCCCCTACTCATGGGCATTACGCTCATTTCCACATATGGCTATTGTAAACAATGCTAGAATTAGTGTTTTCATTTTCTTTGGGTAAATATGCAGAAGTTGATTTACTAGACCATCTATGTCAACTGAAAGAGGTGAAAACAACTCAAAGGGGGACTTACTAAGGGGATTGATTATTCAGAGCAAACTGAGGCCTCTCAGCCAGGAGACAGCACCAGAGTTCTGTGCTGGTCCCGCCCTTCACACGTTCTGGTCTATTACACAGTCTGTACAGAAGGGCTGTGCACAGATGGAGATACTGCTTCTCCTATGGCAGAGGCAAAGGAGACATCTGGTTTCATTCTGGCCAGTGGGGAGAGAAGGAATAATGCATGTGATATCAAAAGTGATCTCTCACTCTGCAGGCAGGACTTTGTGTTTGTGGGACCAGCACAAGAAGTGTGACTTAGAGAGATTGCTTTCCATCCCAGAGAGTGCTCTTGCAGGTGTCAGGTCGGGCTGTGCAGCTTAGCTCTGCTTCTTTCCGCCAGCAGCCAGCAGCATGCCAAGAGTGGCGGCCTCGGTGTGTTGACTCTGCCACTTGGCCTTTTTACAGATAAACACTTCATTTAACAGAAACAGAATTTCTTATAGGGTGACAGGAATGTTTTAAATGTAGATTGCAGTAATTCTTGACTGTGTGAATATACCAGACACCACCAAACTGCATACTTTTTTTTTTTTTTTTAACATTCTAAAATGGGTTTCAGCTTTCTCTGAATCTAGCTGGGTTTCACCTGGAGACTGAGCACTGCATGGAGTGAATATACTTGTTCATCTTTTTTGGAACTTGTATTTTGTGCCCAGAGAGAACCCAAAGATATGTTTTTTTGTTTGTTTTTTATAACAGTTTATTTTTACATCATTTTGTACATTTTTTCATCTCAATTGTAATCCCCGCGGGTTTCCCATCACCGAGTCACCCGTGTGCCATCACCATAATCCCGTGCACTACCCTCTTCACCCCCCCGTTTTTGATCCCTTTCCCCACTCCACCCCCACAAAATGTCTCTGGTATATGGCTGTTCATTATTCTTGTTATTTCGCCTGGTCCATTATCCTCCTGCTATGAGAGAAACCATCCGGTATTTTTCTTTCTCTTTCTGGCTTATCTCACTAAGCATGATCTTTTCCAGCTCCATCCAAGTTGCTGCAAAAGACATGTTTTCTTTTTTTTTTTGGTTGCTGAGTAATATTCCATTGTGTATATGTACCACATCTTTTTAATGCAGTCATCCATTTTTGGGCAGTTGGGCTGTTTTCATGTCTTTCCAATTGTGAATAAAGCAGCAATAAACATGGGGGTGCAGGTGTCTTTTTGAATCAGTGTTTTTGTGTCTTTTGGGTAGATACCTATGAGTGGGATTGCTGGGTCGTAGGGAGCTCCATGTTAAGCCAAACTGCATACTTTTTTTTTTTAAAGATTTATTTATTTATGCATACAGAACTGAGGGGTACAGGCCAGAGGTGCAGGGGCAGCGAGAGGCTTCACCAGAGACAGAGCGGGGAGCAGAACAGGCAGATCGAGGAAGTACACTGCTGAGGGGAGCAGCGGGCGGGTCAGGAGAGGTTTCCCTCGCCATGTGGTCTCCTCCGGGGTAGGTGGGGATCGAACTCATGCGGAAGCGGCTTTAGATTCTCAGTGCTGTGCTCTAACCTGCTGCGCCACCAGGGAGGGCCGAAACTGCATACTTTTTAAAGTGAACTACATAGGGTCCTCCCTGGTCGCGTGATGGTTTAAAGCACAGCACTGCAAGCTAGCTAGCAGCTGCTTCACTGGGAGTTAGAGCCCCAGCCCCAGAGGTGACCCACATGGCACGACAGACCTCTCCTATCTCGCCTGCTGCTCCCCTCAGCAGTGTATTGCAGTTAATGTGCCTTTTCTGCTGTCAACCCAGTCTCTAGTGAATCCTCTCACTGCACCTGTGGCCTATACCCCAGTTTTGGATGCAAAAATAAATCTTTAAAAAAAAAAGTGGACTATATAGCATGTGAATTTTATCTTAATAGAGCTGTTTTTTAAAAGGACATGAGAGTCTGCTTTGTACATCAAAATGAGTATTTTAATGAATTGAAATCCATGAGTCAAGAAAGAGAAAATGCCTGCTTGATAACATGTAAAATGGCTTTTCAATCAGCTCATTTCTTTGAAAACTGGTATTTAATGGCAAGAAATTAGCCCTTTCTTCGATCTTCCCAGAACTGGCGATTCTGAGGAAATTTCAACTTTATTGCACGTGTTATTATTTTAGTTAAGTAGGCTAATCGTCTCAGTTTCGGGAGATATCCTAAAAGGGAAGAAAATAATATCTGTAAGCTACTTTAAAATATTTCAACAAAACAAGTGATTTAAACATTTTAATATATTAATTAAAATAAAAAACAAAGCCTCCCTGGGCCTAAGGGTAAAGTCTCAGTGCTGTCACCACTGTGGCCTGAGTTTGATGGCCAGAGACGGAACTGACCCACAATGCTCAGCAGACCTTTCCTGTTTCACCTGCTGCTCCCCTTACCACTCTGCCACTCTGTCTCTGATGAATCCTCTTGCCCCCATACCTCTGGTCTATACCCCAGTTCTACGTATAAATAAATCTTAAAAAAAAAAAAAGCAAAAGTAAATTCTTCCATTTGTTTTGCAGGTTCATAGATAATACTGCAGCTTGTCAATTTTGTAAAACTGGGAGAACTAGTGAACTAGTGAAAGGTGATCACATAAAACCAGTTAAGTATTTAGAAAAATGTTTCCACAAATTCCCAGGAATGAAAGCACCCCAGTGTGGGAAGGACTGAAAAGGGGGGAGGCGCTCTGCACTACTGTTTAGAGGGGTGGGAATAACAGACCAGTCAGAAAGCGTGTGACCGCAGGTGCCAATGTACTCCCTGGCACTGGACACAGAGAACGTCCATCTTTATTTTGATGAAATAAAGCCAAGGAACAGACAGAACTAGAAAAGACAACTTCTGCTTAACTCACCTTTAGCGCCTGCTCTCCTGTTCCTCCTGCTTAAGGCTCCCTGTGGCTGAGAGAAGCATGGTTCCTTCCCTTGCTCCAGCTGAGAGATCAGAGCTGGTTTGTGGGAAGTGGATGCTGCTGCTGAAGGGAAGGAGAAACAATAAAGTGACAGGAGTGAGAGGGGCAGGGGCTGTAAATCATATCCTGGGGCTTCCAGAAGAGTCAGGAGGGACTGAACAAGAGGTACCCTCCTAAAGAGGGACATGAAGGGGTCCTGGGAAAACGCCTCAAAGTGGTGTTCACAAGGAAGCTTGAAATACTTCAGGAAGCAAATTTCTATTTAAAAGGAAACTAAATTTCTTACCTTCTTTACTAGAAGATGGTAAGTTCCCACTATGGGAAAATAGATACCAGGCTCCAGGTGGAAATTTCCACAGGTAAAGGGACTAAGTTCTTACAAGACAATCTGGGGGTTCAGAATAGGCTGTGGACACCCAGATATAGCTCAGACCTTGCAGGGCCCAGAAAATCACTAGTGTGGGTGGGAGAGAGAGTGGCTTTTCTGATGGAAAAGAAGGAAACCTTCTTGCAGGTCAATAGACTGCAGGGCTCTCATACTTAGTGACCCTTGACGGTGCCATTTGTTGGGGCTAGGGGAGCTAATAATTCTAAGACCTTTAACTTCTGAGGAACCAGGCAGAGAACAGCAGCAGAGAGGACTTACCTAGGAAGACCACAGACTCATAGTTCTCCAGCATCACATCCCTGTACAAGGCCTTCTGAGCAGGCGCCAGACTGAACCACTCCTTCTCAGTGAAGTACACAGCTACATCCTCAAAAGTCACCGAGTCCTGAAACAACAAGTCCCCTCTTTCCCAGTCCTGGGACTCTGGTGACAGTCAAAACCATCAATGAGAGGCCTTCAAAGGGCACCTACAATGTTATGCCTGTGTGCCTGAATTGTCTAGGGTTTAGAATTTGGAAAGTGTGGAGGAAGAAGACATAAAGGCAGACCACCAGAATTTAACATATTTTCCCAGTTAGAAGAAAATACATCTCCACCAGTAGCTTCCAAATATGCGACCTCTAAACAGACTATTACATAGAAACTGGTCTAAGGTATGAAAAGTACAGAAAAAAGGAGAACTAACGTAAAGCTGCACAGTGTTGTCACCTTAGCTCTAAGCCCCTCCCACACTGTACATCATTTGGGTGGTTATTTGAGCTTTATTTATTACTGCTATTTCCTGATTTTCTTTCCTCCTTCTTGCCTCCTTGCTCACTACTCCAGAAATAAAGCTCTCAGATCTGTCAGCGACTTCTCACTCCTATGCAGAGGTAGAGGTTAGCGAAGTGTAAGAAAATACGCTTACTTTGGACAGGTTAGGGAAAAACTATTTATCAAAGGCCATCGAGAGTGAAAAATCAAGCAAGAAACTGGGAAATGACATTTCAGAATACATATCTAACAAAGGACACATATACATAATAATAAAGAACTACAACTTGGAGGAAAAACACAGTATTTTTTTGAAATGGGAATAACATCGCAACAGGCTTCACATAAGAAGATGCCTCTGTATGCGATAAAGATGAAGTGGTGCTCTGCTTCACTACTTACAAGGGAAAAAGGAATTTTAAAACCCCAGTGAGACACTGAGAAAGAACAACAAAAAGTGGTGTTCCGTTGGCAAGATATGGAGCCAATGGAATTCTCATATACTACTAGCAAAAGTATAAATTCAAACTATCATTCCATAATTGCAGCAGCATCTTCTAAAACTAACCAAACATATAGCCCGCATCTAGCAATGACTCCTAAAAATAAACGTAAGCGAAAACAGGTGCAAGTGTCCACCAAAAGGCATGCCACGGGTATTCAGTGAGTGCTTAGTCACAGTGGTGCAAACACAGATCAAAATAAAGTGTCCATCTACTGTAAAATGAATTAAAAAAACAGGGTAATCATATAATGGAAAACTTTTCAGTAGTGAAAAAGAACAAACTACTGCTATGTGCAACAAAGTAGATGAAGTTCACAGCCATAAAGTTGAGCAAAAGGAGGCAAATACAAAAGAATGTTGAATTGTTCCATTAGTATGAAGTTCAAGAGCAAATGATAATGATCAAATTTGAGTGGGCTGTTTGCGTGACACATGGAGGAGGCTTTTGAGATACTAGTACTATCCTGGAATGATGTTCATACAGGTGTGTGTGTGTGTGTGTGTGTGTGTGTGTATCTATATCTCTCTCTATATATATATATATAGATATATATATATATCTGAAAAGTGAACCATATAATTCAGATTTGTGCAGTAAATGTTATACCTTTATAAGAAAGTAAATTTAGATATTTATATATGCATATATATAATACTCTATATATTTATACTTACATAATGCATGACTTATATACATATACTTTCATACATGTATAGTTTATATACTATTCATAAATATTTATGCCTATACACGTGAATATGCGCGGGGTAGAGAAAACCCAGCTCACCTGGGGTCTAGCTGTTACCGACATTGCTGTCATCATCAAACCTCTTTTACTCCTGTCTTAGGGGAAAGTAAAAGTCCCAGGAGCTGAAGGTAAAGAAAGAAGCATTAGCCACTATAACACCTTCACACAAACATCTGAGCTGTCCTGTTTTGAAGCTATGTGAACTACTATTCGTTAGTTGCTGCCTTGTATAAGTGACAATTGTCCTCTAACAGAGTAAGGTGTCAGGTACACAGGGGAATGTAGAAGGGGAACAAAAATTATACTCAGTCACCAGAAGACATTATCACAAAGAAGCCAGAAAAGGAGACTGGGGTGGAGAGAGGATATGGACTGAAAATAAAGCTGGAGCACTAGATGAGATCCCTAGAAAGCCGTATAGTGCAGATAAAAATGAGTTGTGGACCCTCCCTGGTGGCACAATGGGTTAGGATGCAGCACTGCAAGCTAGCCACAGCAGCTTCAGTGCGAGTTCGATCCCTGGCCCCAGGAAGTGACCTCTCCTGACCCACCCGCTGCTCCCCTCAGCAGTGTACTTCATTGATCTGCCTGTTCTGCTCCCCACTCTGTCTCTGGTGAAGACTCTCACCATCCCTGCACCACTGGCCTGTACCCCAGCTCTGTATGCATAAATAAATAAATGAATGAATAAATTTAAAAAACAAAACAAAATAATATTTTGTAAAAATGAGTTGTATACAGGAAATCCATAAAACACTGAATGGCCATATTTGGTTTTCTTCTTGAGTTACTTAAGAAATTAGTACAGAACAGCTTTATTACACTAGTAATAAAAGCCAAAATAGAATGTGAAAATAATCTTATTAGAAATATCCTCCTGTCTCCTGACATTTTTTTTCTTCTAAATAGAGTAAATAAGATGTTCACTCAAAATTTTATAATAGCATTGAGAGTAGACAGTAGTAAGAAAAACACCACCATATTAATGTATCCACTGACTTCATGAGGGAACACAAATACTCCAACTTCTAAATATTATCATTTCCATTTCAACTCCATATCTGCAGTTTGCCACTGAGCCTCAGGCTACTACAAAAGCATTAAACAAAAGACTTTATCTACAGTCAATGCACAGCCTTTCCCTTCATGGACCTCTCAATGAATCCAGAAAGTCACCCAGGATGAGAGGGAACTGAGACTGTCAGGAAGAGCCATCAGGAGGGGCTGAAAAAACTCAGCTTTGGCAGCAGGTATTCCAATAAGGAGAAAGCAGTCACAGTGTAAACAGAAGGACTTTAAAAGAAAACACGGCCCTCCCTGGTGGCGCAGCGGGTTAAAGCACTGCACTAAGAAGCTAAAGCCACTTCTGCATGAGTTCGATCCCCGTCTGCCCCAGAGGTGACCACACGGCGTGGCAGACCTCTCCTGACCCGCCCACTGCTCCCCTCAGCAGTGTACTTCGTCGATCTGCCTGTTCTGCTCCCCACTCTGTCCCTGGTGAAGCCTCTCACCCTCTGCATCTCTAGCCTGTACCCCAGTTCTGTATGAATAAATCTTTAAAAAAAAAAAAAAAGAAAACACAACATAAGCGTAACTACTAATGCTCCTAAATTCATGGATGACTTCTGCCCAAGGGTAACAAAAGCTGTGATTCCTGCCGAGTAAACAGATACCCTTTATACTATATACTACGATTCTCTTAAATCATGATACTGTCATACCATACACTGAATACTTAATATACACATAGTAAACACAAGGACTGAAGTAAAAGAATCCAGTCTGTCCTGTAGAAAATCTGTGAAACAAATCATGTGGAAATAGAACAGCAAAACAGGAAACCCTGCTCCTTTCCTAAGGAGTTGATAATCTGGGTAGGGAGCAAGTCACAAACCAACACACTTCACTAATGGCAGGGACCAGGTATCTCATCTGTTGGACTACAATTAGATGATAACAATGAGTAGATGTTTAGGGAATGTAATGAGAATAAATAAATGAAGTATGTGAAGAGAACAAGAAATCGTTCCTCATCTCCATTGCCTTACATAGGAAACTACATGCTACACCTCCCACATTTGTTAGGTCCTTGTCGATATAACCCATCATGATTTTTACACTGAATGTTCCTAACAGACCATACAAATCCAAGGTTCCATGTTTTCTACTCAGGGGAGCTAAGCAGCCCCCTCCTGCTGTGCTGGAGTGTGGGTGGGGAGAACCATTTTAGTGCTCTCAAAACTGCTAAGAATAATAAAAGCTTCCACGCTGGGTTTGCACCTGCTCTCCCTGACGAATACAGTGAATTCACTGATCATAATCCAATATCTGATTGCTCGCGACCACCCGAAAAGGAAGAAATAGCGTTGCTTCACACGGGCCAAGGGACAGGGGCTGAGGTCTCTCCTGGTGGTTGAGGTGCCTGGAGCAGTCAAACGAACAAGCCGCCTGGTGATAGCAGTCCTGGAGCAAAGTTAAAATTTTTTGAGCTCCTTGAAATCAACGTTCGATTTTGAATTAACACCCAAATGTACATAGACCACAGCTTGTACTGGAGACCATACACAAGAGAGCTGGGGCTCGTGGCCTGCGCCCGGTCGGCCAGTGACCCCTGGAGCCCTGAGGTCAGCCTGAGAAGCACAGAAGCAGCAATAGCCGCTCCTGTTTCCCCCAGGGGGCCCTCGTATCCCTCTCAGGCCAAGCCAGACCCTCTCACCGTGGGTTCTGGGCAGCCTCTGCAGCTTTCCAGCGAACAGAGGTTTGGGGCACCAAATGGCGGCCCTCGCGAACCAATGTCTCGCACGTTAACGGTCACGAAGGCGATGCCGGAAGTACGTCATCACGCAGATTGGCAAGCCCCTACCCTCCCTGAAATTCTCTCTAGGAATATTGGAGGACCTCGCAACTCTGTGGCTCCTCCTTTTAGTTTCGGCGAGAGGACCCCGAGGGACAAAGGCAGGCAGGCCAGAGGGGTCCCCAGTCTTCCTCCACTTCCAGTCAAGGTTAGTGGAAGGGGATGGAGTCTATGTGTGGTGTGGGGGGTGGGAGTGGGGGTAGGGGGTTGCAGTGTTGGGTGCATATCATCAGAAACCCGGTGAAGCTGGGCTGGTGAGCAGTGAGCACACACAGGCCATCCTTCTTGGAGACGAGAGCCTGTTTCCTGCCCTGACAGCCCAGTCCATGTTCAGTAGGTTTCCTAACGCCTGTTGTAGGCTTGAAAGAACAAACAAGGGCCTGGTGTGAAACCTGAGCAGAGCCAGCTGGGATCGGGACCCCAGTACAGAGAAGACTCAGAAACATTTGCTGAGTGTGAGGGTCGAGGCAGAGAGTAGCAATGGCATTGCATACCCAAAAGACTTCTGAGATGTCAAACTGATGCTTTTTAGTCCTGCAAAGGAAGAACCATGAGTGCGTGAGGGAGAGTCAGGAGCAAGAAAAGTGATTCCGAGCCCAAGTAGAAGCCTCCCCAGTCCTGAATATCTTGCTTACACTGTCATTTCTTAGGCTGTCAGTTCAACTCACTTGTCCACCACTGCCAGGTGTCCTCTTTTATTCCTTTTCTTTCCAGGCCACTGTGATGTCCCACATGGGGCTCAAAGTTTATTTCACAATCATGCTCAGCCACTGTTTCCTTTAAAACAACCGAGTGCTGAGAAGGCTGAGTAGAAAAAAACATCAGCCCTCAGTCATACCCTTCTGAAAGCAACACTCCCCTAGGATCCAAGAGACCCTGTGTATAACCCAAGTCACATCTTTTCAGGATTAATTTTATCTCATCAGTGGTCTGCACAACCAAGGGCCTTTATAGCTTGCTTCTGATGACCAACAGATCTTTACATGTGGGAGAGCAGGGGAAGGAGGAGCTTTATACAGATGCACGGTTGGGTTGTTATGCCAAGGCAAGTGAAAAGGAACCCAACCACAGTGGGTAGCATGTTAATCGTTTTAGCAGTTTCATCAGCAAAAACGTCACTGTCCCTAGCATTTAATGCAGTATTGAATATTAGTGATTTGGGGTGTTTGGTAATAACGTATAAAGATAAGTGTTGTATAATAATCTATAAGTGTAAGAAATTTCTAGCAAGCATTAAAGGTATACATATTAACCTCTTACCAGGTTTTACAAATTCTTAACTCATCTAATCGCTTGAAAGACAAACCAAAGACTTTATCTACAGTCAATGCACAGCCTTTCCCTTCATGGACCTCTCAATGAATCCAGAAAGTCACCCAGGATGAGAGGGAACTGAGACTGT